TCGGTAATATGGCAACATTAGCCCTATAAGTCAAATACCTACGTATCTTTATCTCACTCCCTGTGGTCTGACTTCTCTTTTTAGTGTGGAACACAATATTACTATGTTTTTATTTGAATCTCTCGGTAAATTCTTAGAAATAATTTCCACACTAACTAAATCAGAAGTTAAGCTTTGTAAAATAATGTACCAACAAATAAATAGTTGATCTACGATTAGTTACATTAAAAATTCCAAAATTGAAGGTCTCGTATGCATTATTGGATTCAGGAATCAGTGAATTACAATCCCATTTCCTAAGGATTCGGTAATATGGCAACATTAGCCCTATATGTCAACATAAATTAGACAAATATGGCGGTTGTTTACTTAGCAGTTCACAGCGTCGTTTGAGATATTTAAAGTTAATTATTGTTATAATTCAAGAAATGGTGCAAACTTGTGTAGTACGTGGTTGCGACAGTAGTTGGTGTCCAGAAGGTGATATAAGATTTCACACGTAAGTGTTTAAATAGTGACTTCTGACATTGAATACTTGTAAACATACTTTTTGTATTTTCACTTAATTTTTTGCTGAAACGTTTTATCAGTGTTTTAAACATATTAGTAAATTATAACTTTGTCAAGATCAAATAGTTTTACATTGAATTTAATTAAGTTTTGAACAATTTTATTGTTTTTGTTTAAAACAAATCGCACTGAAGTAGTGTGACCATATTGATGATGTATCTGAGACTTTCCGGGTGACCTTAACTAATTATATGTACATGTTTCTTATAATGTTACCGGAAATGCATGAAATTTAGGAATTATGTACACTTCCTATATATTCTATATAATGACGGATTTCATAATATTAAATTAAAAATGAGTAACATAATATATTGTTTTGGTAGACAATTTATTTTTATTTAGTTTTTGTTTCTCATTATTCTGATACTTTAATAACGCTTATAATAATTATGTATTTAGAAATGTAGTAGTTTAGATGTATGATATAAAGCAACATTTTGTAAAATATGTTATTATTTGCAGACAATAAGTGCATTACATGAAGAGTCTATTGTGCAAATAGCTGCTCTGGCTGTACCAAGCACTAGTTCTGACATTTATGAAAGTAGTTCTGCACTTAAGGAAACAGAAGTGAAATGTACTGGCCTGTAATATTGAAGACCAAACTAGTAAAAAACAATGTCGAAAAATTCTTGAAAATTTATGCAATCTTAACAAATAACCTGTAAGTGTCCTTTTCCTTTATTACTAAATACATACCTTTTATTTGTATTTATTATGACTTTAATATTACATTACATAATGTATTATATAGCGTAAAACACACACATATTTAAACTCTTTAGTGCCAATCGCAGTGTGGTAACTACTACGACAGTAAGCATAAAGCTTCTTGTTTGATGCTTCATTTATGCGTGCTCATGAAGGCGCGCTCCGGTGTATTATATGTTACCTATTAAGTGATGTAAATTTGTACTGACATTATGATGTAGAAGAGTTATTTGTTTCTTTTTTTTGTTAGAGTTCTCTAATCTCTGGAACTATACCAGTCTGATTTGAAAACATTTTTTTGCATTTTTAAAACCAATTCTTCAGGAAGTCTATCTAACATCACGCTACGACCCTGTACCCCTACGACGATGTACGATGCTAAAAATACTGATTTCATAAAGTTTTCTTGTTTTCTTAGGTCAGCAGTGAATGCGACGATCCCGCGAAGATTGATAGGGGCGTGCAAGTGAAAATAAAGTGTACTAAAGAAGAAATACTTGAGACGAAAACTAAGATTCTTAAGCAAAAAGTGGCGCGCCAAACTAAAAAATTCAGGATAGGTCTTCTTTAATGGACACTATTAAAAAGTATACGGGTCAGTCAGAAATTGAAAATATTATTCAAGGGCGCTTTGCTCATATCTGTAAGGACTTCAAAAAGCCACAGAGTAATCCACATGGTGTGAAAAATTCAATAAATAATTTTAATATGGAAAGTGTTTTTATTTATTTATTTAAGGTTTTTAACAAAGCATGTAGTGGTGGTGTGAGAATATCCACTACCCCATATCGTTCCGAGGGTGTTGTAAGAGGTGTCAGAGGGAAAATGAAACAGGAGATGGGCAGCGGCATTTTCCTGATAACAACTCAAAATAATAATATATTATCGTTCCTATTATAGTACATGTTACTAGAAATCTATGAAATCCGTTATTATATAGAATTCCTAGGAATTGTAGATAATTCTTAAAATGAACTGGATGTGTGGAATATAGTATTATACACATTTCAGCTCAGAGCAGCCTGACTCGGATGGGTTAGGTCAGAAGGCTAAGGCAGGAGCTCCGCTACGCTGCTTTAGTCCTCGTGATATTTTTTTTAAATAATTGTCCAGAAATAGATTTAGTCTGTCTGAACAATAAATCAGGTATATTTTGCCCAATTCATTGATCACCCGGGGTTATAATAAATTTTAATTTTATATTTCGTTGGTACCGTTTAGGAATTGTATACAATAACCAGAAAATACATTATCGAAATGGTAGTTATAAAATATTCTCTGATATATTTATTTTCCACATTTTCTAAATAGGCTCGGCATTATATGGGTTGTGACGGAAATGCGTGGTCATATTTTAATACCGGTTCTGCCCATGGAAATGAAAACCTTTCTTCATAAAACTAGTCAATTCCCAAAAAAATTATACAAAAATATATAATCTATATAGACTAGGTCTTAGTAGTAAACAGAGATATAGATATTTATAAATAAAACACTTAATGTAACTCAACTACTTATAGCGATATCCTGGGAAAAATAAAATAAAGGTTACCTACTTAGAAAGGGAGGGCCTGCCCACAGAGAGCGAGATAGTAATACATAGCTTAAGCTTCAAGTAGGTATTCGGAGTGTGGTCTCCATCTTTATCTATAACTTCATGACCTTTGCCTGCACTACGATTCGACAGTTAGAAATTCTACAAGAGACATTGTTCAGGTTCTCTATGGTGGAGATGCCATGGACCACAGAACACTATTACTCCTAGCGGAGATGAACACCAACTTCATACAAAATAAAATAAATCTAATATACACCCACTAGCTCCATCTATAGTCAGCCCCTGCAATTTTTTTTGTGGCGGGAAAATTTGAATGTTGCTCTTTTGGAGGGGGGGGGTTTATTTGAGGTATTTTTTTGGGTTGCCTATAACAGCGCTGAATAAAAGAACATAATGAATTACAAATTTATATTTCTGTATCTATTTTGGGACTGCAACGTCTCTGGCGCTGCGGGGAGAGCAGCCTCTACGCCTTTGCGTAACAAATCGCAGGCATCCCTCCTCGCCTCCGCAGCTTCGGCTTGTTGGTCGCCTTCGGCGACCAGCCTCAGACGCTCCGGATCGTCCGATGCCTACGATTTGTTACAGCAGGCGGAGGCTGCTCCCCCTACGCGCCTCCGGCTCTATATAACCACTCTAGGGGTAGGACAGACTCGTACCAGGTGGAGTCGGGGTCAATCAATTCGATTCTTTGACATAAGATGAACCTAACCTATTTTATTTGTTATCTGCCCTAATAAAAATAAATTAATTAAAATAAAACAAATTTCAATAAGAGATTATTTACTATGATATTAAACAGTTTTACTTAATTATTAATTTTTGTAACTAAATAAGTATGTGCAATAACAATACGGTATTGTGCAATTACAATCGAGATATGTGCAATTTATTGGCACTCTGTGCAATTAGAAAAAAACTTTATTTACAGAGATATCGATATTGCAGTACTAGTAAAAACCATAATTTACTTTTTGATTTTTTATAAAAAATTGGAGAGTGTGCAATTACAAATACAAGTATAATCGTAATGTGCTATTAAAAATACGTCGACTAGTATTTTTTTTATTACAAATATCATTATTTTGCAGGCTGGGGTGGGGGTTCTGTCTTGTACATGGCAACACTAGTTACACTAGCGCCCTCTAGTGTCGAGTAACAGAAAGTGTTGCACGCCACTATTAATGTCTTGTACATGGCAACACTAGTTACACTAGCGCCCTCTAGTGTCGAGTAGCAGAACTAGGAGAGTAGAGAGATCCTTCCAGAAATTTCGGGACCGATATGTACTCGAACATTCTAGATGTCGCTACAGTAGAAGGTTCTGGAAACTATCTGAGGCCCTATATAAGGCCGGTATAGACCACGACCGGGGCAGTATTGAATTGGCGATACAAGAGAATACTTCGAAGCGAAATAACGGCGAACTGTGTTTTATTATTAGTGTGATTTTAGATTGTAATTAGTGTTGTGTAATTAAAGTGTCAATTTTGGTAATTCAACCGGCAGTTTTTAATTGTCTCGAACCCCAAGTTCGTAACAATATACGAGTATTATACGTGTTACGGACTCTGATTCCGACTCTACAGACTCAGAAGAATCGGCGTCTGTCTGAATAAACAATGATTTCCTCAAAAAAAAAAATTTATCCTCATTTCCATAAACATAGCATAAGATATCATCAGTCCTGTATCCCCTAAGGGGTAGGCAGATATATCAACACCTACATTTTGCCTGATATATTTAAGTCCCTATATAACAGGGGGCAAGCCTGTTACCATACACCGGGCACACAGTTGTTAGGCAAGCAATATTCAGAAACATTATTATTATTCTCGTTATTTAATTTAAATGTACATTAAACAATAATTCAAATTATAACAAAATTTATAAAAAGTCTATGTTTTTGGTCCATGGTAATCTGTGTTGGCAACACTGCTAAAAAGTCATAATAATTTATTTGGCCTAAAGGTCTAGATGCCAGGCCATAAACTCCAAAAAAAAAATTATTTAACATTTATTTTGTAAAAAGTTAAGCTTTTCATGCATCCTATTCTTAATTTTTAAATGGAGTCAAATAAAGTTTAACACTCAACAATCAATAAATTATTATGTCTAAAGCTTTTTGTTAAAATGTGATATTTGTATAAATAGTATAATGGAGCTGGAACAGAATCCTAATCATCCTAATGAAAATAATTTTCACCAATATACACTATTTGATATCTCAAAAGATCCTGGACTGAAAGATGACGATGGCAATGAGTTACCCCGACCGTTTACTAAAAATCAAATGCGAAAATGGTTAAAGAAAGTTAGGTGGGAAAATAATAAACATGAAAAACGTGCTAAGGAAAAAGCACGTGCTAAAGAAAGGAGAAGAAATGCTCGTTCTGCTAATATTGACCTAGGTCCAAGCAGAAAATCATTAAAGAAAATGAAATTAGAAAAACCGAAAAAGAATATAGGGATTATAATAGATCTTAGTTTTGATCATCTCATGATAGAAAAAGATAGGTTTAAAGTAATAAAACAAATTTTAAGATGTTATTCAATAAATAGGCGTTCTGACACACCATTAAAGTTTCATATTACAAGTTTTGGCGATAAGTCTAAAAGTGATATTTCAAGACATAACGGTTATGAGAACTGGGATGTATGTATTATTTTACTTATTTAAAACACTATCCTATCATAGTTACGACAATATGCTTGTAATAATTTCTTCTTTGAATCCATCATCCTAATTTGACTTGTATGAGACATATTACGGCATCTGTGATATATACTGCTAATATTACCATATTGTTTTTACCTCGTGTGATATATCCAAACCAGCTCATTAAGCAGCATCAAAAGTGCATGACGTCTAGTACTGCAATTGTTAATGTGCCTGATAAGGAAGACAGTTATGGCATTATCCACCCTATAAGGGGTAAAGTCTATATCAAGTATCTTCATTTTCTACATCATGATGTTTACATTTATTTGTTGACAAACCTTGGCGTCAAAAAGCTTATTATTGTAGATTGTAGCTTATTATAAAACTTACATGAAAAGTTTCTATCTAGTTAAATTTCTTAGGTGTCCACTGTCTGTCAGCTGTAAGAGATAAAAATAAATATTTGCTTTATTTCTAGAGGTAGGTTAGTATCACAATACAATCAGAATAGAATACAACATCGGGATTCAAACACAGGACTCTTGTCACAGAGTTGTAATGAATACTCTTACCTCCAGGTCAGTCATAAATGAAAAAAGTATTTCACGTATAGCTTATATTTTGTCTCAGAAAAGAAAAAAATTACATAAATTTATTTAAATAATGCCAATTTTTTAGGTTGAGTATCACGAGAAACCTTATCTAGATGTGTTTTCAAAAGACAAGCTGGTATACTTATCAAGTGAATCAGATAATATTATCGAAACCTTTGAAGAAGATACTTATTATATAATTGGCGGCTTGGTTGATCATAATCAGCATAAGGTATAATCACCATAGATAAATATATACATACATAAATACATACAAGATATTTGAAAACTTAAGTTTGAATGAGAGTGACTATTGAGCACATAGCCAGCCAAATTACATAGTATTAAGTCTAAATAAGATCTTTCCCTGCAAGTACCAAACCAAAGTTTACGAGCCAAAGTATTTAAAAATATTTGGCCAAAGTATTTAAAATTGGCGTGTAAATAAAGTACTGCTGAATAGACGTGCCTCTCATAGTAGGAAGGATTTTCTGTAAACATCATGTTGGACAGGTGGATTAGTGATTGGAGTATAGACATCTAGTATCTTTGACATGATATAAATTCGCTAGACATATCTTTAAACGCAGGCCATATTAATAAAAGATGGTGTCCTTTCATAGTCTGTTAATGAAATAATTACCAATTACTGTTACAACCTATCAAAACTCTACAGCTGAGTATAAGACTTTTTTTTATAGGATAGGGTGTCAAACAAGCACACAGTCCACCTGAGTGGTTGCTGCGGCCCATAGACATCTACATCTATCCTCTATTATAAATCAAAATGCAAATCCGTTGTCACCTGTGAGGACTAAGATGGAATGGATCATTTCCAGTAAAAAGGGATTCCGGTTCTCTACACTCACCATACAAAACACAGCAGCGTTATGCTGCTCTTTTATGCTGGTATTCTGTGAGAGTGTGGTCCTTTCCCAGTTGAGCTGACCCATTCGTGCTACAACTATACTACTAATATAGCTGCAGTATGGCTCTACCACATATAATAACTCTACTACTCTATAGACTCCCACATAGATTGCCTCATAGGGGGTATATTTGCCGTAGTTGCATCCTTATACCATTCATCCAAATATGAAGAAACTGGTGAGTTGTATGTGTGCCCACAAGTACTTCTTATAAAAAAAGCATTGAATTCATGCCAGACACTGCTAGTATGTAAATAAATTTATCATAATTCTTTATTCTCTATCTCTTGCATTTATCAAATCTACCTCAGCGGTGAAGGAAAACATTGTGAGGAACCGGGTATGTCTGAGAAATAAAAAAAAAACGTGAAGTTAGCCAACATGCATTGGTGCATCACGGCAAACATTTGCCTGCCCTAAAACTGTCTCAGAAATAAGATTAGGCCTGTGCCCAGAAGTGGGATGTATATAGGCTGTTACTTTATCTCTTGTCAATATGTATGGTGTATAGATGAAATTCTTTACTTTTGGATAGAAATAAGAATGCATTTTTGGTAAACACAATTTATTTTCCAGGGACTTTGCCACAAAATTGCTGTAGAACAGGGCATAAGACATTGTCAGTTACCTTTAACTAAATATGTCAATATGAAAACAAGGAAGGTTTTAACAATTGACCATGGTAAGGTCTTTTATTAATATACTGTTTAAAGAAAATTAAAAAATAAACTAAACAGTTTTTAATTTAAATACAAATTTTAAAGTAAAATAAATGAATAAATAATTTCGAAAAATTTTAATTGATTACTAATTATGACTAATAAATATATTAAAATATAACATTGGTAATATAAAAATAGATAGATAATAATAATTACAAACTCACTTTGAATTATCACTTTCACTTATTTTGTTATTGTCTATAGTCTACACCTTTCAACATGAGTACATATTTTTTATTAGCTATATATATATTAACATTGCTTACTACATACTAGTAAATGAGGTTAAAATGAAAGCAGCGTGTGCACCACTACCTATATAGAATACTATTTTATTTCTCGTTAAATGATTTTACCATATTTGCTTTAAATGAACTTGTACATTTTTTGTTACAGTGTTTGAGATAGTTCTTAGAGTATGTGAAGGAGTTCCTTGGCAAGACGCTCTTTTAAAAGTATTACCACTAAGAAAAGGAGCACATGTTAGCCAAAGTTTATGTGATTCAACATCAAGTGAAGATATTTCTAATCAAAGTACAAATGGTACATGACAAGTTTTTATATCTTTGAAATGGTTTTGTTGTATTGTTATTTAACAATTTAAGCTTAAGAAATGTACAAAAAAAGTTGAATATTGAAAATACATTCTAACTTTATTATATTTTTAATACTGTTTACTGATTTTCAGAAAAACAACAAAGCAATTCATCTTTATAATATATAATATAAATGACTAGTAGCTTGTACAATACAATTTAATTGTTAAAATTAACATGTGTGTATTTGCTGGCATAGCAGCATACTAGTATAAATACCTTGTTTAAAAACATTTAATACATAAAATGATAGCTAATGACTGTTATAGTGACATTAAAAAAAGTTGTAAAAGATTGAAAAGGGAAGGAGGAAGAGAGGAGAGAGGTCATCTCCCTGATGATGATAAAGTATAGACAATGATCACAGCGACAATTTCAAATACAATCACAGATATTTTATTACTTAACACCTGACGAGTACCACAGATGAATTCATGTCTTCCGGCCCTAACCTACTGGTGCCCGATATAACCTTTATGTGTTAGGATTAAAAGTAGTTGTAGTGAAAAATTACAATTTATGTCAAACCAAGTCTAAACTTTTGTTTTTGAACAAATGTTGGTTCTTACTGAGAACTAAGTCCAGAAGCTTCAGGGAGTGTAGGGCATGTACTGTTTTGTATAAGTGTGGAAATTTTAGAATATTCAAAAATTTCTTTAAAAATATTGAGACATTTTTAGTGATGATTCCGTAACAATACTAATTTTTGTCACACATCAAACGCTCAGTCAAAGCATCTGGATAGACCAAGGGCTATCACCACTACTGCGAATGGAAGGTGGCTGTGGTTATTTGTGGTGGAATACTGGTAATTATTACAGCCCATTGAAGTCCACAGCTGAACATAAGCCTTCTTCGTAGATTGCCTCTTATAGCTTATAGCAGACATTTGCCATAGTTGCCACGTTTCGCAGGTGGGTTGACCACTGCAGTTTTATTATTATTATTGGCTAGTTAATACCAAAAAGCTGTTGTACATCTCCTGTTTAAGTTTCCCTTTGTCGAGCTCTCATGGAATCACAATTTTCTTACGCAGTCTACTACATGGAAACACATTACATTACAATCACAGATTTTGTATGTATTTGGATTACTATCACGTTTTTATGGAAGGCAAGAAAGTACTTTCGGTGGTGACAAAATAACTTCTGTCATTGATTCAAGTATTTTGCTAATAAGGACCAGAATTTATGTGAACATGAAATCATGTAGAGAGAAATGGTGGCAAGATCGTTAAATAAAATGAAAAGTATGTAATATGTTATACTTTATTTATTTTTGAATAAAAATGGATTTTAAGTGACACCATGACACCAAACTAACAACATAAGTACTTTCTTATCGACCAAATAAATAAGGGTTACAAAATACTAAGCTTTTTTAAATTAAATTATATTTTTGGTAAAATGGCAGAATTAAATCCGCAATTTTTTCAGGATCATTTAAATGAACGTGATGAGTACCAGGTACAAAATGACAATCAAATTTTGGATTATTTTTTCTTATCATTTCGCGCATTTCTACAGAAAACTCGTCTGATGCATAGGGAGAGTCTAAACCTTTCACATATAAGGATGGACAAGATAATCTTTTAACAAGAGCTTCTACAAACTTTTTGTTCTCCGGATTAAATAAAGTGTGCTTTAATCTAGAGTCTCTTGAAAAGTAATATTTATTAGGATCGCGACTCGATGGCTTCGAACCTCGTTTCAGTAAATGTTTGACGCTTTCTAAGGCAACAGACTTCATCGTACCCATGTGCCAGATTTTTGTCATTTCTTCTATGGTGTAGGACGGCGGCTCGTCTTCTAAACGTGTTTGTGCAATTTGTATATTTCGCAAGGTTTTCGGATATTTATCCACAACCAAATGTAAGTCATAATCGTCGGAAACGAGACTGTCAATTGCTATATAAAATGCCACTTCATCGGGAAACAAACTGGCGAACCGTAGTCCTGCAATAGCTCCCATTGAATGGCAGAGTAGTGAAATTTTATCCCATTTATAGTATTCTTTTATGAAAAGAATTAGACGTACGAATTCCCATGGATAATACATCATACCTTAAATCAGAAATAATAAATAACTGTTAGAAAATTTTATTGCATTGTGTGCATAATATTGCACTTCCAAGTTTTAATAATAACATTGTATGTTGCTGTACGGTTTCATCATCATCATTCATTATTACAACCCTTTACAATTTTACTGCTGGACGACTCCACGCAAGGAATGCCACAAAGCACGGTCCTGCGTCATCTGCATTGACTTACTGTGTCTCTTACTAGGTTGTCACTCCATCTATGGGGGAGGGGGAGGAAGCGCCCTATACGCTGTACGGTTTAGCGAGGAAGAAGTTATTGGGGTAGAGTTCCGTTCTAGCGACATCTCCGATTTGGACCAAAATAATTTTTACATGCTTACCAACATAAATGATGAAAAACCCCAAAGGGATTTTTGGCGCAAATGCCCATGAAATTTTTTATGAGGGTTTGAAGTTTTAGATTTTTAAGGTAGTTTTTCATGATAAATCGATTAAACCTCACTTTTTTACACAGGAATATTGACCCAAAGTTAATTCTACAACGGCTTCGGCGCTGCGGGAAGTGCAGCCCCCGCCCGCCGTATCAAGTCGCAGGTACCCATGCTCACCTTCTCAGCATTCGGCTGAAAACTGAAAACTGCCTTAAAAATCTAAAACTTTAAACCCTCGTAAAAATTTCGCCAAAAATCCCTTTGGGGTTTTTCATCATTTATGTTGGTAAACATGTAAAAAAATTTGGTCAAAATCGGAGGTGTCCCTAGAACGGAACTATATCAGCTTTCGTATTTTTGAAAATTTAAAAGAAGTCATAGGTTATATTAATTATAATAATTCGGAATTTACCCAAACCACTGGGTAAACCTAGGTTTACTACTTCTTTGGACATTACCTACCCGTAACATATATCTATTACTCCATTACAGTGATGCGTGTGCTCTAATTTAAAAGATATGGATATACTGCCATTTATAGAAAGCTATGAGATTTATGAGACCTTTCTGGCATTAACCATAATCGCCCCTTGACATTTACTTCTACGACTAAATTACGACAGACGGACAGACCTGACTACGTCTAAATGAGGACATACGTATTTTGAATACTTTCGGTAGTTTCCAAATATCCTGGTACCTATACTTTTTGTAGGAAGTGCGCATTTTCAGGATTAGCCACCAGAGGTATTTGTACTGATCTATCAAAAGGAAATAATTCTTAAAAGCAGTACAATGACAACACAAATTACACTTCATCTGACAAGTTTTACGTTTTAAGAGGATATGTGACGGAGTAAAACATCTCTCGTTCTGGCGTCGGTACTTGTATCCAATATAATCCTTATAGTAACAGTGATAGATGTAGGATGTAGGTTATCAAACTCAAAATATTTTTATTCAAAACTAGCTGCTCCCAGCGAATTCATCCGCGTGTAAGTACCGTATATACTTTCATATGCATTTAGTAAGAAGCTGTTATTTTGACATTAAAAACAGACATTTCAATTTTATTTATTTGTATACATTGGCCTTTACAAACTTTTTGAAAGACCAGAAGCTACGCTCTTTATGATGCAGTTACAACACAGTCTGAGCAAGCTATAAAAGTCGCCGACTATCTGCAGCACTGACATCACACAAAATAGCTATAATGAAGTATCAAAAATGGAAGGAAGATCACAACCACAGAACATCCCATTAGTGCTAATAGTGCACAGTACACTATTACTTTCTGCTGAGATATCTCAGCCCTATCAACAGTACGGTTGGTGGGATCGTTTGCTTCATATTGACGTGGTTTTGTTATAACAACTGGATGTACAAAAGTATCCAAAATATTTTTAATATGAAAACAAACGCAGTTGCTGAGCGATTCCCACCAGAGTTACGTAATCTCATGGCAGATCAGAAAAAAAAAGATAATACCTAATTTCTTGTGTTGTAGACCACTACCCTATGCTATGAATCTATGAAGATGCATACACCTAGGCTATAATAGAAACTAGATGAAGTTATTTAAAAAAAATGTCTACTCGCTGGAGGTAGAATGTATAAAGGTTTGAAAAATAAGGAGTGTTTAAAGTTTTAGGAAATCTAATAACCTGTGGAATGGTTGTAGGCAAACTGTTTCTAAAATTATTTTTCAATTTATTGCAGATAGGTTTTTCCAAACTATTGAATGTAAAAAATATATATTCGATAAGTACATATGTTATTTACCTATGCTAAATAAAAAAATATTCTAATCTCTTTTACTCTATTACAAATTAATCAAATCTCAGGTTAATTTCCAGTGAGTAGGTATACCTGGTGGATACCAAGATGAATATCCATGTCCTGGAAAATCAATGGCGAGAATGGGTCGCTTTTCATAAAGCAGTGGTGCCAGAGTGTCCCAAGTACCAGCATTGTCCTGCCAACCGTGTAATGCCAAAATTGGTTGTTCCTGTTCATTTCCCCACAACTTCGCAGATATATGGCCCCATTGAACTGGAATCTTTACTTCTTTTGGTATTCTCTGAAATGAGTGGGGTCATAAAATCAAAAGATAGAAGAGAAAAAAACATGTACCTACCTACTGATAAATTATGTCAAAATAATCAATTATCTTACGGAACACCAATTGTGCAAGTAGGTATATCAATTATAATGAACATCGTAAGACTATGGCAAATAGTTCATATAGGTAGGTATGTATATTATCTTAGTTTAATTTTTTTTTGTGTTTTATTATAAACAAAAAAAGTATAATAAAAAAACTGACTAATAACTTAATTATCATACAATCCTACAATCCTACTCCCCGTGGTATCGTGCCAAGAACACTGGCTGCGTTTCCTCGCTAAATGGCTATACATAGCCATTGAGCGAGAATAGAACCAGCCCTCTTATCACCAGCAGCAACGGCGAGTCGTGGATAGAGTTCCTTTAGGAACTTCACCGTACGTGGACTCCACAGTCTCTACAGCAAGTGGCACAAATATGTAGTCATCTCTCAGAGACTCATATTTGCGCCCCTTACCCAGTTCAGCTGTCTCTGATGCCGCCCCGGCTGTAAACGAAGTAGTTTAGGTTGGTTTACGTTGTGGGATATTGCTAGAGTCAAATCTGTCATTTCATTATGTACTCTCATGCCAAATTTAAGGTTAAGGTCGCGCTTACGCGTTTTTAGGGTAATAATTTAAAAATATAGATATAATATTTTATATCAAAAATTTTATTAAAAATATAGATAAAATATTTATTATCGACATTTTATACTTACGTCATCAGTATGTAAATGCCTATGCTTATAATTTATTCGTAAAGGACTAGTTGTTAAGTTTTTATGGGTTATTAATACATCTCTAAGCAGTCTTTTTGCCATGCTTTATTCACAAAATGATAACTTTGTCTGGGTATTATTATTTTAATATTTGGAATCTGCTTTGGTCGATTAAAATATAAAAAACACTAGTAAATTATGTAATCAAGTTAACATTCTGTCACTGATATGTTCCTAACACTTGAAATCCACTATTGACATGCATTAATTTCACCAGTATGTTTAATAATTTAACAGTTTTACAATAAACGCGGAATTATTGATCACGATTGATGCCGACGACATGACGTTGAAACTAGAAAGATAACCTCACATCACACTATGCTAAGCAACAGTACTAAATAAATTTATTACTACTCGGTTTACACTGCCTTGTTCACTGTCAAGGTTCTTTACACACGTAATAATAAATCACAGATAGAGTTCTGATGATTCATGTTATTCAATGAGCTAAAATTTTCTACGAAAAAATACTAAAAATCTTAGATTATTTAAATAAAACTAATTTTACGGATTTTATCGCGTATATTAACTTATTTTACATTCCCGACGTTTCAAGCACTTTACAACACCCATGGTCACGGGGGGGGGACTGAGGCTGAGGTGTATGACGTCCCAATGTCACAGTTAACCACGGCTACCTCCAGATTAAAAATTATCAATTTTTGTTATCTTAGATTAATAACATAATACTTTCTAAAAACTCAATTACTGTGGACCCATGGTAATCCGACAAACATTTTGCAGGGCAGTGTCGGACTATCGAATTTGTCGGATTATAGAGTACTGCCTAAGACCGGAATTTTTTATAAAAGAGTACCTTGTAATCCGACAAATCAGATCCAATGATAATATTCTATATGTTAAGTATATACATGTACTCTGAAGACCGCACTGCTATCTTCATCACATATGTATGTAGTACCAAATTCAAACTAAGCAATCAGATTCAAAACAATACCCTACGCGTCGAGCACAATAGTGGTGGTGCGTACAAGTAACTTGTTCAATCATGCATTTGCGAAGATTGTCAAAATTTCTAATAATAAATAATAGACCATGTCGGATTACAGGGGGTGCCGTACTTATAGGTCACGATTGTGTTATGCACAGAACGCTATTAGGTACATGGTGATAAGGACATGAAACAAAAGTCGTATCTGGTTGTAAGAACACAGCACACTGTCTTTGAAGGATTTTAGGATAACTTATTTTTAGGGTTCCGTAGTTAACAACAAGGAACTCTTATAGTTTCGCCATGTTCGTCCGTCCGTCCGCGGTTTTAAGCGTCTCCCACACACAAGCGGTTTGCGGTGGCGGCTAACCGCGAGCCGCGGCTCCAGCCGCTGCAACAACACACGACCGCGGTTGCAACGGTGGCCTAAAGCGTCATTCAATGTGGTATCTGTGCTACGATTAGACGTCAGTAAATATGGCTAACCGTGATGAAGTCTTATTATATTCAGCAATATTATCATATATTTTGTTTTTAATCCTAATGCTTTTGTGATGACGATGTGAATTATCATAAAGTACTGAATAATTTTGGTATGTTTCTGTTACTATCTCTGAATTTAGCACTATTTTTCACGCGGTACACGCGGCCTGTTGTAAAAATTTGCAACTGACCGCGCTGCAGCCTACTCTATATAGTATATTATCTATGCTGCGGCCACCGACTGGCCGCGTACTCGCTAACACACATGCGTTGGCGGAAGGGGCGGAGCATGCGGCCGCGGCCAGCCGCTCGCAGATCGCGACATGGCCGCACGGGTAGGGCATCGGAACCGGTTTTTCCCGGTTCCAAAATAAACCGGGAATCCCCGGTTTTCAGGGGTCACGAAAAGAACCGGTCCAAAAAAATTTAAACCCGGTTCTTTCGGTTCCTTTACAAAATTTCTTAAAAAGTGTATCACTGCAATGTAGTGTTATAAAAACGTGGTTATTAATCATTTCTGCTATTTATGGCAAACAGTAGGATTTGTAATGATATTTAATTTAATTTAGTAAAAATTTAATTTAGTTAAATTCTTCAAAAACAAATCATAGCTGATTTCGGACGAGAATATTGTTTGGTTTTAGATGAAAATACACGTTGGAGCAACATAGTCGCGATTTTAAGCCGTTTTCTGAAATTAAAAACGATCACAAAAGCGTTAATTGATTTTAAATCTGATATTGTAGGTATTTACTGAGGAAATCTGGACAAACATGGAAAAGTTAAATAAGACATTGGATGTTATTAAAACTATCGTAGTAGCTCTGTCCTGTCGCGATGCAACATTGATTAGGTACAGCTGTTTCTTTAAAATTTGCTATAAGAAAATTTTATTGAAATGAATACTCATCTTAGTAATAAAATGGTCACTGCATTGCGAAAACAATATAAAAAACATGCAAGCATTAATATTGCGATACTTAACCAACCCTGATAGTAATTTTGCCAGTATGGACGATACAACTATCTTTTCCCGGCCTACAAATGATGAAATGTTTTTGGGGAATGGGGAAGGACCACGCTCTCACAGAATACGTTGCTGTGTATGATGAGTGTAGAGAACCGGATACCCTTTTTTTACTGGAAACGAGACATTCAATCTTAGTCCTAACGGGTGACAACGCATCTGCATTTTGATTCCTCATCGAGGATAGATGTAGATGTCTATGGGTAACAGGAAACCCTTACCATCAGGTGGACTGTTTGCTCGTTTGTAATCCTTATTCTATAAAAAAAAATCGCACGAAAGCTGGACAAAAACGTGGTTTTACGTGGTATAGCCATGCTGCAGCTATATTAGTTTACGTGGTAGAGCCATGCTGCACCTATATTAGTAGTATAGTTGTAGCACGAATGCGTCGGCTCGACCGTAAAATAGCAGGTTAATGCTGCTGTGTTTCATATGGTGAGTGTAGAGAACCGGAGACCCTTTTTACTGGAAAAGAGGCATTCCATCTTAGTCCTCACGGGTGACAACGCATCTGCATTTTGATTCGCAAACGAGGATAAATGTAGATGTATATGGGCCACAGCAACCACTTACCATCATGTGGACTGTGTGCTCGTTTTTCACTCTATCCTATAAAAAAAAATCCCTTGAAGAAATGCCAGCAATTGGAAGTCAAAATCTGCAGCAAGTTGAATTACATGAAGCCCCCCTAAGAAATGAAGAGGAATTTAATAGAGCTGTCTAAAGCTGTTAATACTGCTACTGAATCGACAGATCAAGAAAATGACTTAATTACTACTGTGAGAGTTGAAATGGCTCTATTTGAAAATGGTGGGCAAAGACAACGAGTACTACTTATCGCGAGCTTGTACTTGTAATGTTGATATCTACATTTAAAAACTATTTCGCCCACCAGTCTAGAGCCAGAGCGAATCTTTTCTTCGTCTGCAACAGGCTGTGCTCGTTTTTGAGTGATAAAAATTTACATGCATTAATTTTTCTACGTTTTTTTATTTAAGTAAAATTAAGAAGTAATGTTTAATTAAAACTTTTTTTTTCATAAGTGTGCTGATTTATGTTTTGTTATAATAACAGTTTCCGTAAAGTATATTCTATGATAGAATATTGTAATGTTATAATAGAATAGAATCTTTCTAAATTATTTTTATGTTGAATGATATTAAAATTTAAGTAATGTGAAATAACTGTTAATGTGCAATTGTAAAATGAATGTTCCTAGTTAGTGAGATGTTTGATTATATTTAATTAGAAAGAAAACTATTGCAATTATTACTTGAATATTACTTGAACCCACGATTCACAATAAACTGTTTTCTTTATGAATATTATTATCGTTATTCACATTGAACGAAATAGCCTCCAACTTAAAAGAAAGAAAAGATCCGAAAGAACCGGGTACCCGGTTCCGGCAAAAGTTTAGAACCGAAAGAACCGGTTCCTGGAAAGGGACCGGTTCTCAATGCCGTACGCACGGGTTTGCAGACTCTCTTAAGCCGCGTCTCCACCAAGGTTTTGTTGCCAACAAAACTTGTTTCCATTTTTGGCGGCAACATTAAAGGAATACGCTTGTTGCCAACATTTGTTCCCTCGGTGGAGAAACTCGTTGGAAACTGTTGGAAACATAACTGTGGTCAACATTTTTGGTGGATACGCGGCTTTACATTGCAAGCGAATACAACTGACCGCCACCGCAAGCCGCTTCTGTATGGGAGACGCTTTACTCAGAGACCCTAGGTGCTACTCTCTGACGTATACGCAAACTCCAGTCTGAGGCACATAGGTCTTATAATTTGTACCCCGGATAGGAGAGAAGTATCGACCGGAGAGGACACCTGTCCCTCGGTTAGAAAGAGCAAGGTCGGCTTCGCCGTCTTCAGATGGTACTTAGATTTCGTTAACGTTCGAATGAAATCCCCTGATGTTGCAGAAATTCACGGATAACGTGGCAGGGGTCACCTTTGTCTTATTGCCCTACTTGCCACGAGCAGTATTAATCTTGAGCGGAATTCAACCCCAAGATATGCGAGGCAGCCTGAGCACCCGCTCTAATATTTAATTACACTACCATGTCAAGGGGGGGAGGGCTTAGGCCTTCGACAACCTGCACTTAACAGGCGACGTAAACTTCTACTTAACGCTGGTTATCTGTAAGGTCGTGGGTCTCCTCGGTTCTAGCTGGTCCACCCATTCATTACAGCTCCTCATTTCATGTCTGACCATGTCGTCACTCCATCCAGTCTGGCCCACCCGTGCGACAGCAAAAGCTGCCGTGTGGCTCTTCCACTGTTATGTTGTCTGTCTATATTAATTATTAATCTACTTCGTCATTGTTTATGCGTTACACAATACTTAGTAGTAAGTAGCTTTGCTTTGCCTGCAATGGTCGACAAGGAGCTGATGATGAAGTAGTTTTGCACCTTTATAGTACCTATTTAGTTTAGTTTAAATAGGGCCTCAATTTCATTTTTGCCCTGGGGCCCATGATTACATAGCTGTGCCACTGATTGGGAGTACCTATATGGAACAACATTTTTTCAATTCAAGGGTCCGTTTGGCAAATATTCAGCTAAAGAGGTGTTTTAATAGAGTCATGTGTAAAAACAATGCACGATAGTAATAAATTTAAAATAAAAACTATCACAGCTTACGAGTATAAAATGCACTTGGATTAGTAAAAATTGGGAAAATATGCCTGACCTATATAACGACTAAAATGGGCCCAAATAGTCTAATGATCACTGATGGGCTTATTTTCCAAGCATACTTATAAGGAGTGGTATTCAAAAAAGATATAAAAACTTTTCGATCTTGAAAATAATGCAATCTACATCAAATCATTCACAGCTAAGTCCGTACAAAAATGGTCATAGTCAAAGTAATACGGACACTCGCGCGCAGCGATGAAGTTTTATTTAG